ATTGCAGGCGGGCGCGGACTTGCCTATGGAGGGGCACCAGGGTGCGTACGCGCTGCAGAAGCAGCTGATGGAGGGGGTTGCGGCAGACTCCCACCTGTCGCGCCTGGGAGGCGACGCCTTCAGGTGCGCGCGCGTGGGTGCCTGGGGCGCTTTTTTTGGCCGGGAGACGGGCAGGCATCGGAGACGGGCTGCGCCGCCGCCGTGCCGGCCGGACCTGCCCCCCCTCTCTCCTGCCCGCCGCCTGCCCTGCCCTGCCTGCCGCGCACACGCCCCACGCGCCGCCCCCTGCCTGCCACCTCGCCTGGACCCAGCCCACCCACAGCCTGCCCACAGCCTGCCCACCCTTGCACCGCCGCTTCGCCGCCACCCACCCCCTGCGCAGGTCCTGGGTGCGGGCCTATGCCACCCACGCCGCCGCCGTCAAGAACATCTTTCACGTGCGGCGCCTGCACCTGGGACACGTGGCCCACGCCTTTGCCCTCAAGTGAGACCACCCTGCTGGGCCTGCTGGGCCCCTGCTGGGCATGCTGGGCCCCTGCTGGGCATGCTGCTGTGTGCCCCTACTGCGCCTGCTGAACCCCTGCTGCGCATGCTGTGCGGGCTGCTGCGCTGTGTGCTGCTGCGCGATGTGTGGCGGTGGGCCTGGCTGCGGGCCATGCACGGTTCTGCCAGCAGGCTGCGGCGCTGTGTGTCGCTGCATGGGCTGGCCGACCCGGCCCACCACCCCGTGCGCTGCCCCCGCGTGTGCAGGGAGCGGCCCAGCCTGGTTGGAAAGTCGAGCACCAAGCAGGCGTCGCAGCAGAAGCGCAAGGCGCAGCACGCGCCGCACGCGCAGCAGCGCCACAAGCAGCCGAAGCAGCAGCACCAGCAGCACGGCGGCGGCGCCGGGGCGGGTGGTGGTGGAGGGCCCAAGCAGGCCCGGCGACAGCCCCCGCAGCAGGTGGCATCCACGGCGGGCGGCATGTACACCCTTACGTGACGCAGCAGCCAGGGAGGAGACACAAGCCTGTGTGGGTGTGGATGGCAGCCCACCGCTTGCCTGCGCCTGCTCGGCGGCTGTGTTACAGTCGCTTGCCGGCGGGCGAGGGGGCCAAGAGAGAAGGGTCAAGGAATTGGGTAGGGAGGCAGGGGAAGAATCGTGTGCGGGGAGGGGAGCACAGGAGAGGGAGGTGCGCATTGGGGTACTGAAGGCAAGCTGGGCATCTGGCTGCAGCTGGGAGCTTGAGAGCAGCCCAATTGTGGCTGAAAAGGAGAGGGGGGGG